CAATCTACAAAATAGGATTATTCTCCCCTTGAGAGCAGCCGTGCAGAAGCTTTTCTAAGTACCTGCAAGTGCTCAAGCTGCCGACTGTGGCTGCAGTGCCTGACTGCAGTAACCCTGCTGCAGTGCCCCAGCTGCAGTGCCCTGGCTGCAGTAACCCAGCTGCAGTAACCCAGCTGCAGTAATCTGGCTGCAGTAACCCAGCTGCAGTGCCCAGCTGCAGTGCCCAGCTTCAGTAACCCAGCTGCAGTAACCAGCTGCAGTAACCCAGCTGCAGTGCCCCAGCTGCAGTGCCCAGCTGCAGTGCCCAGATGCAGTAACCCAGCTGCAGTGCCCAGCTGCAGTGCCCCAGCCAGACCAACCACATCACCTCCAGGTGAGTTGGAAGTGCAGGCAACAGCAGCTTGGATCTGTGCTCCTGACACACAGCATTAGCACCACAGAAGAGCAGACCAGAAACCCTCAAACCACCCCCAGCTGAGGTCTGTGACTTACAGAGCACAATGAACCAAGAACACCAAACACAGGAAGAGGATCACAGCTCAAAGCTGCTGACATGGCAGCAGCACTGCTTCTGCAGGCAGGGGACCCAAAGTGACACTGATTCACTCAGACTCAGCACCCAGAATGATCCTCAGCACTGCCAACACAATGCAGAATGCAAAGAGCTGATTCAATACCCAGGAACATCTGTCCCAAAAGCTGTATTCCAGAGAAGGGCTGCAATCAGGTTTCACACACTCAGTATTTGGCAGAAACTGGGAGGTCTCACTCCAGGGCTCTATTACCTGCAGCCAACAGAGTATAAATTCATACCTAATCTTGCAGGAGAATCTATTTGTCCTCTGATGAACAGAGGGACTTTCAAGAACACTCAACAGTCTCACTTGCAGGCTTATCATGTTACACCTAGGAAAGCCTTCCTGAGCCCCAGGGACCTGGAACAATATCCCTCAAGTGGCTTTGAAAGCACTGACCCTTTAGAGACATTACAGAGTGAGAAGATCTTGTCTAAACAGGAAAAAATGCATTTCCTGGCTGAGGAGGTAACAGCAAGCCCTGGGGTGCCTGGATTCTTTGGGATTCCTCACTGGGAGGAAGAAAGAATCACACCAGAAGTACGATGCCAAACAGGTCCCAGGGAAGGGTCCTGCCACTGCCAGGGCAGACGGGGCTCCTCCATGGGGACAGGGACTGGGGCCAAACCTCAGCTGCCCCAGGAACTACCTGGGGGCAAATATCAGGGATTCTGTGGGAGCAGAAAGCTGGGGCACCAGCAACAGAGCAAGCAGCTTTAAAACAGCTGGATGCTCCTCAGCTTGGAACGCTGGAACCTCGGCATGCAGCTCAGCCCTGGGCCTGGATGGGCACCTGTACCTGCAGAGCTCTGCCGCCAGGCTTGAGGGGCACGGCCACCACAGCCAGGGAGAGCCCTGGTGCCTGGGCACACAGGAGCTCTCATGTGTCCAAGAGGGGCATGGACAGAGCCCTGGTGCCTGTGCACACACAGGAGCTCTCATGTGTCCAAGAGGGGCATGGACAGAGCCCTGGTGCCTGTGCACACACAGGAGCTCTCATGTGTCCAAGAGGGGCATGGACAGAGCCCTGGTGCCTGTGCACACACAGGAGCTCTCATGTGTCCAAGAGGGGCATGGACAGAGCCCTGGTGCCTGTGCACACACAGGAGCTCTCATGTGTCCAAGAGGGGCATGGACAGAGCCCTGGTGCGTGTGCACACAGGAGCTCTCATGTGTCCAAGAGGGGCATGGACACCCCATGACAGAGCCCTGGTGCCTGGGCACACAGGAGCTCTCATGTGTCCAAGAGGGGCATGGACAGAGCCCTGGTGTCTGTGCACACACAGGAGCTCTCATGTGTCCAAGAGGGGCATGGACACCCCATGACAGAGCCCTGGTGCCTGTGCACACAGGAGCTCTCATGTGTCCAAGAGGGGCATGGACACCCCATGACAGAGCCCTGGTGCCTCTGCACACACAGGAGCTCTCATGTGTCCAAGAGGGGCATGGACACCCCATGACAGAGCCCTGGTGTCTGTGCACACAGGAGCTCTCATGTGTCCAAGAGGAGCTGCACAGTGACAGCCCCTCGTACGTTCTCACTTCATCCCTGGAAAGCTTCAGAAATTTAAGTTTTAAAATCCACTTCCAGCATGGAGCAGCAGCTGATGCTGCTGCCTTGGCCCATGTGTAACTAACACAACACCTGTGGGCTGACTCAGGACAGCCTGGGTGTCCAAAAGAGAGCCAAGGCAGCTTCCCTGAACCCATTACTTGTTCATAATTTTAAAAAATGAAGTTTTGCATCAAATAAAGCCATTAATAAATCCAGATTGAGCAGCAGCAGCAGAGTGCAGAAGACAATTTATCTTTGGAGGTTGCAGCACCCCAAGTGTGCCCAAGCAGCTTATTCTGAGGATTATTTTCTAATCATAAAGCAATTAACAGCAGGCTGTAATTGAGCATCACCAAATCAATGTTTCTCCTGCCATCTCTCCCCGGGGGAAATGCAGAGGCTGCTGCTGGCAGCCAGCTGGTAAAGTTCCTTCCTTCCTTCCTTCCCATGCCTTCCTCTCACAGGAGGAAGGAAAGGGTGGCAGCTGGGATCCCCACCTCTGGCCCACTGGATAGGTTTTGGAACTGCCTCCAGCCCTCAAGGCACCAGAATCCAGCTGACTTGAGCAGGCTGGCAGCTACGCTCTCCAACACTGGGGCTCTCAAAGTCCATCATCCAAGCATTCCTATGACAAATCCTGCACTGAGGGTTTCTGCCTTTGGAGAGGACTCCTTTCCACATGAGTAAATGGCTCAGGTTATTGGCGTGCATCAAAACAGAGCAAGTCATCATGCACAAGGCAAGTCAAACTAGTAATTTGCTACAATTCCTTTCTTCAGCTGCAGAGAGCACACAGGAAATGTACTTCATAAAGAAACCCAGGCTGGCTGATCCTGCACTAGCACGGACTACTGCAGATGAAACAGCAACTGGTAGTCAGTGAAGGCATTCACTCCTTTAGAAAGTCATCAGCTCAATGGGAAGAGCTTCATTGCCATCTGCCCAGCTCCCTGCCAGAGCCAGAGGGCAGTGACAGGCCAGGAGGACACAGCTAATGGGGGCAGCAACAGGCTCATGTGGCACAGCTCTGGCACAGGGAGCCTCCCATCAGCTGAGGGCACCTTCACCTGCACGGGCATCCGCAGGGAGAGGAACCCTTCTGCTGCCCACAGCTCCTCGGGCTGGGCAGGAGCCACAGCCCTCGGGCACCACAGGGACCCTGTCACACCTGGCAGGGTCCTGCTGCTCCTGCTCGGTCACAGAAAGCCCTGGAGAGGCAGGAGAGCACTCCAGCTGACTGAAGAGCTGCAGCCGTGGGGCACAGGGCTGTGGATAGGATGGGCACAAGCCCTCCAGGAGCTGAGGCATTAAGTCCCATCTGTGCCCTTGCTCCGGACACCAGAAGCCTATTTCAGCTGCACGTAATCTCAGGATGTGCAGAGTTCATTATCTGCCTAATGCACAGCCCATGTGCTCTGTACAGGTAGAGACAGCACACAGAACAGCTGCAGCAAGCAGATTTAAATAAAATAAACCAGGTCCCATGTGGTGGTATAACCCCATGCAGCAGCCAAGAACCTCTCAGCTGCAGGCTCCCTCCCCCAGCAGCAAAATCAGAGAGAGAACTGGAAGCACAAAAGCTGAGTTTTATCACAACTCATGAGCTGAGATAGACCACTTAATGGGGAAGACAAAAGCTGCACACACAAACAAAGCAAAACAAGAAATTAAATCCCTGCTTCCATGGGCAGTCAGGTGTTCAGCCACCCCCAAGAGAACAAGGCCCTGTGACATCTAACTGACTTGGGAAAACAAATATCACCCCAAATGTCCCCCCTTCCTCCTTCTTCCCCCCACTTTATATACTAAGTATGATATCATATGGACTGGAATAGCCCCATGGCCAGTTGGGGTCACCTGTCCTGGCTGTGTCCCCTCCCAGCCTCCCACACACCCTCAGCCCCCTCCCCAGCATGGCTGTATGAGGGGCAGGAACAGCCTTGGCTCTGTGCAAGTCCTGTGCAGCAATAACAAAAACATCTCTATTTTATCAACCCTGTGTTCAGCACAAACCCAAAACACATCCCCAAACCAATCACTGTGAAGAAAGCTAATTGTAGCCTGGCCAAAACCAGCACATCCCAGCCCGTGCTCATCTAGCCTTACAGCTGAGCAGCTCTGTAAGCCTTACAGGCAGGAGCAGAGCTCACTCAGCCACACACTCCTGCTCACCTTGATGCCAGACCGCTGATGGCAACCTATGGATAAAACAGAACACATCAAGGCTGGAAAACAGCAGCTTGTATGTTTTTCAACATTAAGAGCCATCACATCAATTTCTGGGATCAAAGTCCTACCTTTCACACCTGAACATGAAAATGAGAAATTTTCAATTGTTCAACACCAGGCTGGATGTGGCTTGCAGCAGCCTGGGATAGTGGAAGGTGTCCCTGGCCATGGCAGGGGTGGAACAAAACGATCTTTAAGGCATCTTCTAATGCAAACCAGTCTGTGATTGTACAGTTTGTGTCACCCATTGTGTCAGGCAGCTGCACGTGCCATTAGCAGTGCAGGGCTGCTGTGTGAAGATCCCGTTTGTTCCTCACCTGCAGAGCACAGACACCCTTCCCTACACAGAGCTACCACCACGTTTCCCAAAATCCCCCATTCCTCTTTGGCCCAAAGTAGCCTTTCTGTAAGTGCACCTTGGAGGTGCTCAGTGCTGTACAAATACCTGCTTAAGCACCACAGGGGCAGGACGAGCTCCGAGCCCTGCCTGGGAGACCAGAGAAGTCCCTTGGGTGCCCCTTGGCTCCCATCCTGCTGCTCTCCATGCTTGCTGGGAAAAGGTGAATTGTAGCTGCAATTCGGACACCTCCACTTGAGTTCAAACACCAAACAAGTAAATAAACACAATTCAGGAAAACATACACAAATTCTGTTTTTACTTTATTTGTAAGTTCTCAGAGTAAACAATTTCCAGGTTCTTTGTCCACACATCTCTCCCATTTCCTGCCCTGAGACCCTGGCACAGCCCTCGATGCTGTGTGGATGGACCCTCCAGGCAGTGGGGGCACTGTGGGCTGGTGACACTGCTGGGGACACCCACCTGCCCTGCCACTGTGGGCACGCTTGGCAGCACTGGCACTTGCAGACCCTCAGGCCCGGAGCAGCTCGCTGCTCCCAAGGGAGCTGCTAAGCCCTTGGGGGGATCCAGTCTCCTCCAGCAGCTGAAGTTACAGCTCTGAAAGCCGATCGCATTCCCGGCACCGGCGCGGCGCAGGTGCAGTTAGAAATAGCACAATGTATGGCCCAGTGGCATTTCCACAGAATTTCCTGGGAGCAGGGTGGATGGAGAGGGGCCACGGCTGGCAGCACAGGGTAGCCCCTGGGCACAAAGGGCAAGCGCTTTTGGAACGGGCAGTTCAGCAGGATGGCACCTGAGGTGCAGCTCCAACCATCAGCGCTGGGCACACAAAAATGCAGCACAGTCTATTCTGGACTTGCTCTCCCACCTTGTATTAGCATGCAGAGACGCTGACTTCCAAGCAGGAAGACTGTGAAACAGTAATTAAGTTGGATGCCTGGTTTTAGTGGACCGAAGAATCTGGAAAGCAGGACAAGAAAAATCTCAAGCATTCATCTTCTGCACTGAAATACTCCATGTGCTCAGGCAGGTGTTAGAAAATACAGCTATGGAGGGATTTATGCTGTTTCACAAACTGTGGGCAGCAGCACTGGCTGGACAGACACACAGAGCCCTGAACACCTTTGAAGGTGAAGTCACAACGTGATACTCCAGGTTTTACATTAGTGGTTTCTATAGACAGTGAGCATGCAGCCAGCCCAGAGTTTGCTGCACACAGCAGCAGTGTGATAGATGGCTTGATGTACTGACACTGAGGTCTATTAAACTCATAGCAGTTAAAATGAAAGCCTTCAACATCTGCAAGTTTAATGGTTCCACAGTCACAGCCTGGGGACAGAGGAGAGAGGGGAAGAATAAAGGATTTGCCAAACTGAAAAAGCAAAGGACTATCTATCTTGTAAACTTGTTTCATGCAGAGATGTGGATGAAAACCTACCAGCAGTTTTTACGAGAGGTTCACTGCATGTCTCTGTGTAGGGAGAGGGCATCTGCCACGAGGAGCTGCTCAGGAGGATCACAGAGCAGCAGATCCAGCCCTGCCAAGGGCCTGTCCCTGCAGGCACACCCTCCCCACACAGCAGGGCTGGAGCAACACGTGTTCCTTGTAAAGCCCCTGATCCCACCACACGAAGCAGTCCTGGTGCAGGGAAGGGGGGCCTTTGGAAGCACAGGTCTCACTCCCTCCTGTGCCTCCGCCCAAGGCACAGCTGGAGCAGCAGCCACAGCCCATTCCCAATAAAACCTGAGTGACAGCAGCCCAAGGTCCTGGCTCCCCCTTCCTGGGAGCTTTCCTTAAGGGAGAGACAAACATCTTCACTCCAAGCCAGGGGCAACTGCTATCCTTGTGCCTTGAGCTGGCTCCTTGGTGTCACACACCAGCGAAGCTACAGAGCAGCCCCAGAAGATGCTGAGTGGACATGTCTCTCCTGGCACTACTCTAAACCAAGTCTTACAAGTTTCAGTTCTACAGGCTGCTATTCTGCCTCTTGTTTTTCCAGAAACTTGTTTTACTTAATTAAAACCCTGTCATTACCTGACTAGTACTTTCCTTGCAAAGAAACCCTAAGGACAAAGCAGTAACAACAAGGAGTGATCCTACCAGCTCTTCCAAATCAAACCAAGCTAAAAGAAAAAAAAATCCAATTTTTCCAGTTTTGTGCATCCACAAATGATCTGCAGTGTTTGTACATTTTTCCAGTAACTACCCTCTGCAGAACACATCACATGCCAGAAGACAAAGTTTCACAATAGAAAGTATCACCAGTGACAAACATCTGCTGTGGCCAGGATTAGCATGAGCAGTGTCAGTGTTGAAGCCACTTCATGGACTCCTTCTGATGACAAAAACCTTTGTGCCACTGCTGGTGAAGCCCCAGCATGATGGATTTTATACTGTTCCCATGCAGTATCACCAGGTTACCCAGAGCAGCTGGGGCTGCCCCTGGATCCCTGGCAGTGCCCAAGGCCAGGCTGGACACTGGGGCTGGAGCACCTGGGACAGGGGAAGGTGTCCCTGCCGTGTCAGGGGATGGAATGAGATGCACTTCAGGGTCCCTTCCAGCCAAAACCCTTTCATGCCATCCTTCAGGAAAGGACAGTGAATGAACAGCTGAAGGAAACACTTCAGTTCTACCTTGTGGAAAATCAAGGAAAGCAACAAAATTCAATGCTCCTGCAAGGAGAGAATTAGGTACAGACAATTCTCTGAATAATGAGCAGTTTTATAAGTGATGTACCAAAACTCCAGACATGCTGCTCTAATTGGGAAATTAGGTAAATGTGACATGTGGAACACAGGCAGTTGTGTAGTTCTACTTTTCTAGTTTTGCAGTGCTTTATCCAACAGTCATGTTGTCTTCAGCCTGGCAGACTGTGCTGGCAGCTCAGCTCAGACATGTAAGGCAGGAAATCCCCTGGAAAGCCAGCTGAAGCGGGCCAACAAGACAGTGATATCTGCTAAATGTATATACCCACATACACATACAGAGGTTTGGCTGAAGAGCACAGAGGGAAGGAAAGTTTTGGCCTAATCCAGGCTATCCCATCCCATCCATCATTTTCTTATGCACATGTTGTCCAGATGTTCTTCTTTCCCCCCGTTCACAGACCTGCTGTGTACCTGTAGCTCAGGTCCCATCGTGTCTCAGGAGCAAGGGCTCTTCTCCTCCTCGAGGCCCTGCCCTGCAGCCTGTGCCCCATCGTGGCCAGCTCCTGCTGGGGCCAGCAGCCAGCGTTCTCTGGGGGCCAGCATGCAGGGGAAAGCCTCCTCCCCTTCTGACTTCCAGCTCCGGGCTCGGGACTCCTCCTGGCCACAGCTTTCCCTCTCCCCAGGGACTGACAGGCACAGCCAGTCTGTCTGATCTGAGCACTAGGTGCTTCCTCCAGTTGCCCCTTCTCCTGCAGCTGGGCCATGCCGGCCATCCAGGACCCACAAGGGCAAGGACAGATGTCAGGAACGATGGTGACATTCCTCACCTTTGTCCCAAACTGCTCACACACACAGTGAAGAGAGCTCAGAAGACGAAGTTTGCTGCTCCTTTAACCAGAGCACTGTCCAGACAGGAGCCATGGATTGGCCAGGACTCTTCCACTGGCAAGGACAGTACATTCTGGGCAGCAGGTTTATTTATACTCCTGATCTAGCTAATAGGAATTTGGGTCCAATCCAAACACTCTTGATATAATAAAGTCCTTAGCCAGAGTTAAGCAGCAGTCGTATGGGCAAGATGATGAGGGAAGCTGAAATGTTGCTGCTGTGGTTGTCCAGACACCCTGAGTACACAGCATGAATATGTCATGCCCTGGTTAGTTGCTCCAGCCAGGCTTGCTGAGATGGAGTCATAACCCAAGCAAAGCAAGTCCTTCATCACACTCAAGCAAGGGGCTAAGTCCCATGACAAGGGTATGAAAAAAATCCCATTTTCCCATCAGGACTACATGAGCACTGACAGTCCCAGTCCCACTGCATTATGACAGCTCAGATAATGAAGAAAGTCCAGAGGAGCAGCACTGGCTTGCTCACACAGAGTCCTTCAAGCATGAAACAGAGCACAGCATTCAGGGGACAACATAACAATCCCCTCTGCATAAAGCATGGTCTTTGACACAAGGCCCAGTGATACCTCCGTTTTTTGACAAAAAAAAAGTTAATCCCACCCTTATCTAATACCATCACAGCTGAGGTCTTGTCTGGACAGTGATGACTGAAAGGTTGTGAAACGACTGCAGGTTTCATCCAAGTCACTGGATTTTCCCATGAACTTGTATTCCCAGTCATGCCACATCCTGTATTTTTTGGTACCAGATTTTCATCCCAGGCAGACTGTTTGATGCGAAAGGGAAATCCATACATTACGAAGAATCAGCTCTCATGTTTCCATTCTCACCTAATGTCCTCATACAGATATAAAGCACAAAGGAATTTCATTTGATCCAGGTCATTCCCCAAAGAAACAGTGAACATTTAGGTACAAACCAAACCCCAAGTACTGTGAGAGATATTGAAATACTGTTCCACAAAGAGTTTTTGGTACAATCATTTTTGAGGAGCTGTAAAGGGCCTTCATAAGAAATCCAAACCAGAGGGATCAGAAGGAGGGGAGCAAAGGGATCCTAAACTGTTACAGATAACTGCTGGGCACCAACACATACATATGATAAATGTCATAATTCCAGTGAAAGTTTTAGTTCTTTGACCCAAGGAAACTGAAAGCCTAGGAACTGTTAGTCTTCCAGGCACACAGCTACAGGTTTATCAGTTCTTTGAAAGGCTGCTTCCTCACAGTGTCCTATTTGGCTTGCATTTCCCTCTGGAATAGGGGCTCCAATTCCCATGCTCCCCAAAAGTTTGGAATTAAGCTCCTCACCACCTCTGAAATTACCCCCACCAACTAACAGCCAAGCATGTAAATGTCACAATTGCCAATCTCAGATTCAATGGAAAAACAAATGCAAACAAACAGTGGAATACAGATTAAAAAAGCACCAGGCGGCTTTTCATGTTAAGCCTGTTAAGATAGTGTAGCAATCACTCACCTGATACTGGAGGCAAAGTTATGTCTCAAACTGTGTTAAGAGATCTCGTATTTCTGGAGTCAGGTGCTTGACTGCCTTCGCAGCTTCCGTGATCGCTTTCCGGTACATGCCCTTCTTCTTGCGATTAAACCTCAGTTTGAAAAACTCCGAGAAAGGAGAGAGTTTTGAAACAGATAAGAACGAGGTTGTTGGAGAACCAAACCACGACACTTTAGCTTCTCGCCACGATGGTTCCCCATTTTCCTTCTGGCTGAGGTTGATGTCAAGAACACGTGCGGGCCACCACGGAAACCCGTGAATTTTACCCCAGACAATATCCCCCACTGAAACAGTCCTTCCATCTTCTGTAACACATTTAGACACACTCTGGGTGTGCAGCCTGACTGTCAGTGGTGGCACGATTTTACGCTCATCTTTTGAAGATGAAGAGACGGAGGCATCATCACCAGGTAAAAAGTCACACAGTTCTGGTGATGTCACCTCTGAACTAGAAGACTTGGATTCATCTAGACTGTCATTGCTACACACCGATAAACTAGAAGAATCTGCTTTTCTTTTACGGTAATTCATGAGGAAAGCCAAGTTATCATGTCCATCTTTACCCTGGGGAAACCTTTTGAAGTCATCATCTTCACCTGAACTGCCTGAAGATATCTCAGCCAAACTTCTGTCGGTGGACTCATCATTGTAAAACGCTTCGGGATTGGACTCCCTGCTGTTCTGGAGGACATTGATTTCATCAATCAGTTCTGCCTTATAAATTGAAACACTCTGACCATCGTTGATGCGATGGGGCTTCAGCCGTATCTTTGGGGGTGGGACATCCACACTGGAATGCACTGGCCGTGTGAGCTTCAGTTTTGGAATGGAAGCAAGCTGGCTGCCTGCTGACTTGTCCATTAAACATTTGGTTTGTCGACACCGTTCAGAGTCCCTGCTCTCCTCTTGGTCCCCGGCTCCGTTCTGCAACGCTTGCTCCGGACAGAACGGTTTGACCGAGCCATGAACCCGGGAAGGGATTTTTACCACTTCACCCTTCCCTTGTGGAGTACTGTAGGATATTTTTATAACTGGCGTTCGATGCACCAGCTCCCCAGAAAACTTGTCATCCTCCCTCTTCTCTCTTTTGTTCCTTTTCTCCACGTAGTCAGAGTCGCTGTGCTTCTTCTGCTCCTTGTCCTGAATGCTCAGCTTCCTCCTGGTCTTGGCGTTCTGCCGCGGCGCGTTGGCATCCTCGGGGTTCAGCGTGTTCTTGCACTTCTCGCAGAGCACCTGCCTGGGCCGCAGCCTGATGGTGCTCATGATGAGCCTGCCCGGGTCCCTGTTGCGCGACAAGCGCCTCCTCGTCCTCTTTATAGTCCGTGGCGGCGGCTGCGGGACCCACTGGTTGTAGGTGTGCCGCAGCCACAGGGGCCGGGGGAACGGGGCTCCCTCGAAGTAGGGCGGGAAGGGCGGCAGGCTGCCCGGCGCCGGCAGCAGCGGCGGCACCGGCTCCTCCGCGCTGCCCTCGGCAGGCTGGGCGCCCGCGGGCCGCGGCTGCGG